TGCAGTCAGCATGTCGTTGTGTCCCTGAGACACTTCACCCCAAATTGCTCCTGTGGGGATTGTCCACAGTATTGAGTATGTAAGTTGCTTTGGATAAAAGCTTCTCACAAGTAACATGTAATGTAATGTACATTTAAGAGCTACAATAATCTGCAGTGGTGGAAAAAGTACATTTTGGTTACATGTGCTCACTTGAGTATTACCCTGTTTCTACTTCTACTACACTTATTTGAAGAAAACTACTGTATTCTTTACTCCTCCATAGCATTTATCTAATAGTTACTTTTCAGACTAAGATTTTACGAACATATTTACAAATATTCTAGAACAAATTGCACTGTAACAGTTTATGAAAATGAAATAATCCATTTGTTATGTAACATCTGGTAACATTGAAATGCTGCCAATATGTTAACACATGAGAAAACACATAATGTTTTAATGTAAACAGGGTACATGTTGCTGCAATATAATACTTTACATACAAGCTTTTCACTTCATTACTTGAGTATTGGCTTCTCCTATTATGTATTTTATTTAAAGGGGCCCTATTATGCTTGTTTGTAGAGGGACAACATACAAATATCAACCTGAGAATGAACAGAAAAGGACCCCTTTAAGAAAAGCATCTAAATATCTCTTCCGTCTCTGATGGCCTGTGATCAGATATTTGATATGTTACAATCAATATGCGTCACTAGATCTGTATACGTCAGCTTCTTGTGTAAGAATATGGGTGCTAACATCTAAAATATTTAAATTATGAAAAAGAAAGAATGAGAAGAATTAACAACAGACATAAAATAAGTGCGTCAAGAAGCTGATTAAAATTCAAGTCATGTGTGCACTTAGTTTATAGTGCCATCTAGTGTACAAGTTCTCTCTATCGCTCTTTAATCTTTCATTATTCAATTACACCACGAACCAAAGGTCTCCCGGTTTACGTCTTTACTTCCTGTCTCAATTCTCTCACATGCCTGTAGCTAAATAAAGGTTATACTACTACTACATGCATGCAGTGAAGAGAATAAAACATTACAACACCGTCCTACATGCCTTCACCAAAGGGAATACATCATGCGTTCATGTGACTCCTGCATCTCTCCTCCGGGAGTTCATGGGGAGTTCACTGACTCAGACATGTCACTGGAACAACAAATTTGCAGGGTTGAGAATAATAAATCCTTCGGAGCTGTGGGGCGATTGCAGCTCAATCACGCAACAGAAGTGGGCTGAATGCCAAAATATGATGATTGAAGTAAGTAAGTAAAAAAAGAAAAATCAATGACTTTCGTTCAGATTCTCTGGAGTTTTTGAACAAATATAGAAGAAAAACTCACTCCCTGCTTTTTTTTTTTTGGCGCTTATTGGTGGAAGAAGTGCATGTTTAATCAGTAACCAATATCTTATGTGTAAGTGTGGGAACTAGAAAAAGCCCAATGACCAAGATGCATTCAATTTTTTATTACATTTTGGTTTTCATATACAATTGTGTATTTTTTGCCATTTTTTTATCAGACATAGCAGAAAAACTCTCTCCCTGCCTTTTTTTTTTGGCGCTTATTGGTGGAAGAAATGCATGTTTACACTTACACATAAGATATTGGTTACTGATTAAACATGCATTTCTTCCACCAATAAGCGCCAAAAAAAAAAGGCAGGGAGAGAGTTTTTCTGCTATGTCTGATAAAAAAATGGCAAAAAATACACAATTGNAAGTGACGTCACCCCATTCAAAGTGAATGGGCAGAAGCGTTGGAAGATTTTTTTAACGCTGCTGTGTGGACGGGCTGTCAAACC